GAAGAGTATTGGATCCAGTCAATGGTTTACTAGAGGGTACTTCATAACCTGTAGAGTTAAAAAAAATGTTGATAATGCATAGGAAAGAAAATTGGAACATTTCATATATTCCGGTGGGTAGCTGTGTTGACCTGGAGCAGCAGAACAAAGTTTGAATCCAGTGGCACCTTTAAGACCAACAGAATTTTATTCTAGGTATACTTTGAATAAAATTAAGTTGGTCCTAAAAGTGCCACTGAACCCACACTTCGTTCATTTTATATATGTTAAGCTTGACTTCATGTGAACAGGTTTTTAAACATGCAGCATATTCTTTTTCATGACAGGAATATAACTTGATATGGATTCATTGATGTTTTAGTTCTTTAGTTCTTCATCAGCGGGTAGATTTTTAATAGAGGGTAGAAAGAGGTTTGCGACCATGGTGGAAAGGTCTACTACAGCCTGTACACAATGTGTTACAGTGTGTGGGGGGGTGTTATTTGGGTCAAGTGATTTTTGGTGGGAGTGGCATCAAGTTCAACAAAAGCATCTGGGATGTAGAAAAAATGGTCATCATTTGAGAATATAAAGCCAATGGTTAATCAGTACCAAATCTCCACATTACGTTCAAGTTAGCATGCCAAGGATTAATGTACATAATGTATATTATGTATGGTGTATAGAGTATGTTTATTTATTTATTTGATTCAATTTCTATCCCGCCCTTTCCACAAGTGGACTCAAGGCAGATTACAATCAATGCTCCCTCTAAGCTGTGGAGCATTGTGAGCAAAAATTCTACTTTGTGAGCTATTGGCGTTAAAGTTGTGAGCAAGCGATTTGGCTGTGTCATAAATAAGTCTGCTCTGGAGCCATCCTTCCTGAGCTAAGACAAAAATGTATGAGCTGGAGGCTAAAAAACTGTGAGCTAGCTCACACTAACTCAGCTTAGAGGGAACACTGGTTACACCATCTACTATAAAACAATAAAATCAAAACTAAAATTATAAATGTAACCCTTAAGCAATGGCGATCAGACTGCGTCACAGCTATTACAATGGTGCCCTGGTATTAGAAAACTGAAGGCAGAAAGGGCTAGACCCCATAAGGGATTGCAGTGATACTATACGTAGTACATAGTGTACATAGTATGTGTACATAATGTACATAGTTATCACTGTTATGCATATTGAAGAGAATTATTGATCAGTATTAAGTAATTAAAGGATATCTGTCTCTGTATACACACTTACATCTTTTCTTGTGGTAAAGATGAATGTATGAATTGAACCAGCATTTGTATATCACAGCACTGGTGGTTAAGATTAAGACTCTGGTTACTGCATATTTTTATATTCTTGTGAAAGTCATGCAGTGATGCTGATATTTCTGGGCAAATTCATTTAGAAAACATACCAGTATGCCTCCCACTGCTGTTGTGGAGTAAAAGTGCAACCAAGCGATCCCAGCAGGGTTTGTTCATCACACAGGCTTGTTTGTGAAGAATAGCAGCACTGTGACAGTTGAAGAATGGAGAGACTTTTTCCTTTCCTTCTAAAAAAAAGAAAGAACAAGGGGAAAAACTCAAAATCCAGCAACTAAATAGAATAAAAAAATACATAAACTAGAGACAAAAATGTAACAACAATAGTGGCAGATCTACACATACGTTTCTATAAAAGGTTTCCAGATATCTATAATTAAGGCTATATGCAATTGTAGTCTGTGTGCCATGTGTTCAAATATTGATAGAGTTCTAAGGTCCTAGATTCATTGATTGACCAGAGGTGTTGTATTATACCATTTTTTTCGCTCCATAAGACGCACTTTTTCTCCCCCAAAAAGGGGGGTGGAAAGTGCCTGCGTCTTATGGAGCGAATATGCCTTGCCAGTGGCTCCCGTGGGCTTGGGAGGGGGGGAGGCTGAACAGGGCTTGGACCGTGCAGCCTCCTCCCCCCTCCCAAGCCCGCGGGAGCCGCTAGCGAGGCTGATCGGGGCTTGCATCTAAGAGACACAAACCCCGTTCAGCCTCCTCCCCCCCTCCCAAGCCCAGGGGAGCCCAAATGGGGCTTGCATCTAAGAGACACAAGCCCCGTTCAGCCTCCTCCCCCCCTCCCAAGCCCAGGGGAGCCCAAATGGGGCTTGCATCTAAGAGACACAAGCCCCGTTCAGCCTCCTCCCCCCCTCCCAAGCCCAGGGGAGCCCAAATGGGGCTTGCATCTAAGAGACACAAGCCCCGTTCAGCCTCCTCCCACCCCTCCCAAGCCCAGGGGAGCCCATGGGGAGGCTGAACCGGGCTTGCATCTTCATTGACCATCAGTTAGCCTCCAACAGATGGGCAGATAGTTTAAAAGTACATAAGCATCCTCTAAAATCAGTGAACATTCTAATACAACATTTATATAAATAATAACTTCTCAGAAAACCAAATGACTGGGCATGTCCAAAGCCTGTGTTTAAGGGATGCATCCTGTGAGTTACAATGCCAATATTTAGACACTTTATTCAGTACTTTGCTAAAGAGTTGCTGTGGTGTCCAGTATATTCTTAACATAATTTTTTGTTGAATAATTTGCAACTTAAGATCCATGGGGAGAGCAGGTATAATAAGGTCATATCCCATTGCTTTGGCAAAATTGAGTGGTCTCATTCCTTATCCTTGATTCTCTGCATATCATATTTATTAATCAACATCAAATATTTATAGACAAATATTGTAGGTTTCATTTTCTGCATCAATTCAATTCCATCCAGAAGCAAAGAGGACTCTGAGGCTCTTAATGCCACAAGGCCATATTTAGATACCAACGGATGTTGCAGTAATAAATATCGACATTCAACAGAAGTTGACAAGTCATATCTAGACCTCAACTAGACATCTCAGATACCCCAGCTGAGAAAATGGTGAAAAACTCATCATAGTCTTATCAGCTGGTCCAGTCTAAAAAAATCTCTCTTTTGGTCCAAGCCTTTCATATAAAAGGGGGAGCTTTCATAAAAAAGAGAGCTTTGCATAAAGTGGAAGAAAAATATATCTAATTTCTATTGTATGCTGTTAACCCAAAACTGACCAGTGTTTGATCCTGACTGAAAGGTGATAGTGTATAATTTATGGTACTGTCATTTTTGCTACTCCAGGATTTGCCTGGGATCAGACATACATGTGAAATTTTATTTATTTTTCAAAATTTATACCTCACCTTTCTGTTCTCATAAGGTCTACTAAGGCAGCTAAGAAATTAAAACGTACATATTAAAATCATACAAACCATTAAAACTAACAAAAATACATAGTTAAAATTATTAAAACCAGAGCTGAAATGCATAAAAAACATAAACAGCAATTAAAATATTGGGCAGGAAGGAAGGGATCACTGAGATAATGCCAAAGAAAACCAAAAAGTCTTCATCTGCTGGTGGGAGAAACAAAAATGTATCTCACTGGGGAGAGAGTTCCATAGTTTGATGCTGCAACCAAGAAGGTCTCTCTGGGGCTGCCACCCACCTTATCTCAGAAGATGGTCTGGTAGTGGTCAGCTAGCTTTGTAACTGAGTAGGCAGTCGTTTAGGTATGTTGGTCCCAAACCATTCAGGGCTTTAAAGGTCAACACCAGCACCTTGGTTTGTGCCTGGAAACAGATTGGGAGCCAGTGTAAATGGGCCAAGACTTGACTGATATGGTCCCTGTGATCCCTTCAGTCAACATCCTGGCTGTAGCATTCTGCACCAACTGAAGTTTACAGACACTTCTCGAGGGCAGGCTATGTAGAATTTATTGCAGTAATCTGATCTAGATGTAACTAGAGCATGTACCAGATTGGCCATATCTTTTCTACCCAGGAAAGGTCACAACTGGCTAACCAGACAAAGCTGGTAAAAAGCACTCCTGACCACAGCTGCCATATGCTTGTCCAGTAATAGGCCTGTGTCTAAGAGATTACAGACCTATTCATTAAGGGGAGTGCACCTATGTCCAAAATGGGTGGCACCTTAAATCCCAGGTCAGACATTCTGCTCACCAGTTGTACATCTGTCTTATTGGGATTAAAGTTCAGTTTATTCACCTGGATCCACTCCAAAACTACCTCTAGGCACCAGTTCACACTTTCTACAGCTTCCATGGAATCACCCAGTGGTGTGAGATAGAGCTCAATGTCATCCACATGTTGGTGACAGCCCAGCTCAGATCTCCAGATTATCTCACCCAGCAGTTTTATGTTGATGTTTAAAAGCGTAGGGAACAAGAGGGAGCCTTGCTTGACCTGATAGGCAAAAGGCCAAGGGGCTGAGTAGCAGTCCCCCAGCACCACTTTCTGAAACCTGCCTGGACTGGAACCATCCCAGAATGGTGCCTCCCAATCCCAGTCCAGATAGGTGGTCTGGGAGGACACCAGGATTGACGGTATCAAAAGCCTCTAAGAAGTCCAGGAGAATACACAGAGTCATACTCCCACTGTCCATCTCCCGTCGCAAGTTATCCACCAGGGTGACCAAGACTATTCCAGTCCAATAATCAATCCTAAACCCAAATTGGAAGGGGTCCAAACAAATTGCTTCATCCAGGAAAGCTTGGAATTGTCCACCCATTATCTGTTCAATCACCTCACTCAAGAATGGAACATTTGAGCCTGCTTGATAATTTTTGAGATCCCCTGGGTCAAGGATAGGCTTCTTTAGAAGTGGATGTACTACAGCCCTCTCTTAATAAAGAAGCATATTGGACAAGCATAGTCTTTACGGTGTCTAGGAATGTTTCTATTTGTTATATGCAATCTTGTTATAATTCACATACCTTCAGTGAAATTGTTGTATGACAATGAAATGTATTTTTCCCTCTTGATACAACTGTTCTGTGTCCTGGGGAACGTTCCCCACTATGATGTCTTCAGATTCCTTTTAGAGAGTTATGTCTCTTGTTTGAAATGGAGAACCTGGAGAATGGTATTCACAGCAAGCAACACAAATGTCCTACTAGTTGTAAACACTCTTAATGTTCTAAATTATTTTAATGTCAACAGATATCAGGTAGAAGATGAGTCCTCTCACTTGGATGAAATGCCCTTAATGATGTCAGAAGAAGGCTTTGAAAACGATGAAAGTGATTACCATACTTTACCAAGAGCTCGGATTTCTCAGAGAAAAAGAGGCATAGAATGGTTTGTGTGTGGCGGCTGGAAATTTCTTTGCACCAGGTTAGTTGATGATTCTGACTTTCTCTTCAAACTATACAAAAGCTTGATTTCTGTGTTGAGTTTAAGTAAATACAAACTGTTTTGCATATACAAAGTAGTGTAAAATGGCACTATTTTAGGTTTTAAAATTCTGTATTTTAAAGTTAAGGACTAATGAGTGTGATAAGGCAGGCAATGGATGGTGAGGTGAACGGTATGGGGGAGAAGTATCTCCACCCCCAGCTCTCGAGTCCCCACAGTGAATCACTGCTTTGAGTCATCCTTTACTTCCAAAGTAGTCACATGCACACAGCCTGTTGTCACTTCAGAGGAGGGGAAATGGCTTCCTTTGTGCCAGTGTTCTTTGGGGGATTTGTGGATCCTTGTTTGGATTCTTCTACAAATTCATAACCATAGTTAGAGGGCATGGCATGGGCTTGAATCCTTTGTCCTCTGCCCCCCCACCTCTCACATCCAAATTTCTCCTCCCTTCCCTTTTCAGAACTAGTGCAGTGCTGTGCCTGTTTTGATATTAATAGCGGTTAATGAGAAGGCTTAGAACCATAGTTAGCCTCCAGTTTGCTGGTCATGGTCAAAGTTTACACTGCACCATAATTACTTTTGTGGAGGGGAAGGGAGTTAAATGAGCACCACTCTGTCTCTCCACCATGGTCTGTTCTGGTCCGAATCTGTGTGATGACATTGACTCTGGTCTAGCAATGTTCATGGTTTAATAAATCTGTTAATCTGTAAGGTGCCATGAGACTCTTTGTTGGTTAAGTGGGGAGAGCTCTTTATACTTCCTGATAATAGGGTAGACTGTGCTGTCAGAGTTTGGTTAACATCCATGGTCTTTTGCGAACATCTTAACAGTTTTTCTTCATGGTGAGTATACTGATCCTGGGAAGCCGCTATCGTAAGTTAAGGTTTACAGAGGTTTGAGGAGCCATTGGCCTGTATCCAGCCTACAGTTCAGAACATGTGAGTGCCTTTTTCTTAAGAAGGGGCAGTGGTTTCTGTCGATCTCTCTCTTCTGCTGCAGCCCCCTGAACGTTCTGAAGGTTTATTTCTGGGGGGGTCAGTAGACTCTTGGGAAGAGCATAGTGGGCTCTGCAGTGTGTGTGTCTGGGAGGGGGAGGAATCAGTGGAAAATGCTACTCCCTTAAAATCACTTACATTTTATTAATGTGGTTGGAAACTGGCCAGTATCTCTATTTTAGGCTTGAAAGAACTGCAGGATGAGATATCAGTTAGTAATAGTTTTATGATTTATAACTTAACATCTTTGATTTATCTGAAAATAATTTAGTTTTTTAAAAATGTGTGCATTTTTCAATACAGAGTCTTCATTAAAATACTCATATTTTTTAATGAAGATACTGATAGATTCCTAGTTGTGAGATGGGAGCCATGACAAAATTAATGTTCAGATTTAGTGCTCTTTGTAATAGGAGGAAAAATTGGTTTTCTAATTTCATTTGTTAATGATTATTTGGGGGATTTTATTACCATTAATTGCATTTTATCCACCTGTAGTGTAGTTAGTAATTGTCACTGTCCAGTCTTTTAAAACAGTACCACAAATTCCCTTTGCTATTTTATATTGCCCTATACATTTTCATTCGTTTTAGGATTAGAATGGGCTCAAATCCCAATTGTAAGCCTTTTTACTAACTTTTTTTTTTTAATGAACCTCACCTGGAAAGAAAGATGGCAGTACCCTTTCATGGATGTTCCCAAGAGTCTTAACACTAATTCACTAACGCTGGGTGATATCTGGGGTTGATTGATGTTGGTGAAAAGGGAAATGTAAATTCATTAACTGATGATAAGTTAACATTTCAACTTTAAAGGTTAAAAAGTACATGTAACTGATGACTCTAGAGTGAATACAAGTTAGAATAATCTCCTGGTACTCCGCTGTCATTTATAAACCTCTTGTGTTGAACTCTCATGCTTGACTTTTGTACAGTCTAGTGGGTAAATGAGTCTTGCATTGTTAGAATGTCTCTCATTTTAGACTTGTATTAAATGCAGTTTTTTGAAATAAAACTGCAACACTTAGTAATGTTCTGAAGTGAAGATAAGACTTCAGAAAGAAGGTAATAGTGCAGTTTTTTAAGCGTATGGGTTATTTTGGATAACAAACCAGAAACAGCTCTTTTTAGGTTGGCACCATGCATATACCTCTGATTTCTGACAAGAGAATTGCAGTCAGGTTCAGTGGATTTCTTCCTCCTGTTTTTCAAGTGTGTGTATATAATCTGTTAGTTTTTAGATTCTTCTTTGAATGACTGAGCCTTACTGAAGTATTAAATTAGGCTGTTGATACATTTACAGTGCCATGGTTAAGTGGAGTTGCATCTTTCTAAGACCATTGATGTTTTTGACAGTGCTTAGGATGGAACTGTTAGTTTAGCATTATGTATCTATTTAGCATCATTTATCTATTACTTAATTTGCTACGCTAATAGTAAATGAGGAGAACAGTCCATCTGAACAAGTGCAAAGCGTAATGGAGTCAGGAGCTAAGAACTGAAGCTGTTTTACATAACCATGCTAAGGATATGGTTAGAGTAATGCACTTCTTCTACTTGGGGACCCTGGCCAAACTTCCTGGAGGCTGCTTGGAAGTGGAAACTGAACCACCACTCAGTCTGCAATCCCTCACTGTTGGTAGGGTTCACACTAATTTAGGTAAAATAAACAAGAACTCATACACACTTGGTGAATGTCAGTGTTAATAAACTACATGCTGATCCTGTCTTTGAAAGATTCTGAAACATAAAAAAACTTTCGCCGTAGTGGGGGAAGTCATCCACAGAGTCTGTGGATTTTCTGTGTGTTATCACTATTGGGTTAAATGGAAAAAAAAATCATATGGCTTGGAAGCACAGAGGTTTTATGCAGTATCCCTGATTAGGGATGGGCACAGACCAGGAAAATGCAGTTCAGTTCATGCCGTGCCCAGTTCGCAAACCACAGACCATCAAGAACTTTTAAGCGTCAAACAAAATGGTTTGGTTACTGAGGTTCGTTACCCGGTTTGTACCCGTCCCTATCCCTGATCCTCCACGTTTCCCAGTTAAGGGGAAAATGCTGAACCTCCACAAACAGCTTCAAAGTTTGACTTTGTGAAGCATGAACTGCCCAATATTCGTCACAAACTTTAGTTTGTGAGCCGGTTTGTGCCCGTCCCAGCCCCGATCCTCCACGTTTCCCAGTTAAGGGGGAAATGCTGTTCAAATAAATTACAAAGATGATCTGACTCCAATGGTAACAAGGGAAAGAAATTTTACTTACAAAAATATAAGCACATTTTACATGACATATTCATATAGGTACATTTAACTTATTGTAAAAGAGAGGTCCTACAGAAGATGAAGCAGAAGACAAGCAGTGGCTGAAGAGGCTTGTAATGGACAGCACTACACAGAAACAGAGAGCATTGAGTGACAGGCTGCTCCAAGCAATCTGATTGGTTAGCATCAGCTGAGCAGGAAAAGAGAGCTGCATGCTGAGGAGTCAGATTTCTGCCTAGACTGAGCTGAGTCTGATTTCAGCCTTAGCTGAGAGCAGTTTTACACTGATGGAGAACTTGGGGAAAGTTGACAAGAAAGTTTGGGAAGTTAGGTGAAGATTCCCATTCAAGTCAGAGAAAGAGGTCAGGTTTTGTATTGAGAGGAGAATTTCCCTACCCAGTCAGAGGGAGTTAGCTCTGAAGAGTGGAGAGATCTCTGGTCTGGTGTGGTTAGGAACTGCCTTTAGAGATCTTAAGAATCAGTTAAAAATTTGAGACGAGTACTGGTGTTTCAAGAAAAGGGTTTGGGTACTTCCAGCCTTCTGGAAACTGACAGAGTCAGCGGATACTCGAAGACAGTGTACTGGAGCGTTTGGGAAAACACTGGAACAAAAGCCTCTCAACATAAACATTTAAGTAACAATAGCTTAAGAAACTCTCATTAGCCTGAAACATAAGAACTAAAGTCTGTGCATGTATTGGTTTTACCTCTGAGGTATCTAGATTGAGCTACCTCAAACGTTTCAACCCCTAATTTCACTTGACCTTTTTCTTTTATGTTGAATAAAATATTTTGTTAATTTTAAACATTAAAACCATTTTCAGTGGTTTAAGTTAAAAGAGCAATCCTGACCCTTTCCTCAGGTTCCTGGGCTGAGCCAGCAATAAAATACCATATTGACGCAGGGTGGGACAGCCAAGGGCTGCTCAGTCTGAAAAAGAGAAAAACGGGCGGGGGGGGGGAATCTAGCCTCTAAGACAGGGAAGTGAACGGGGGCTGTCATAAGGCTCAATATCTAACCCATGAGAGAGTGGGGCCAACCGAGCAGAGAATTCTCTTAACTCTTTTCCTCCCAGATCCTCTTGCATGCAGAGTTAAAATATTCAACAATCACATGATTAGATACTACCATCCATGGGTGGAACCCTACTCACTCTGAAGACTTAAATTTAGCGTTAGGAGACTATCCTGCAAATGATGCTATTTGACATGGGTAGGCTCAATAAGAAAGGGGACCCAGGAAATTTTATACCTCCCACTCATGTATTAAGAGAGCAAGCTCCTTCTGAAGATTGCTCTGTTTATTTGTGAGAGGCATTTTTGTCCTGTTTCCCCTCCATGCTGTAGTCAAGCTACATGGTGTTTGTTCAGGAGGGTTCCCTGACCCTCAGCAGGACCTCTTTTAGGCATATGGAGCTGTGAGGGGAAGGACAAGGTTGGTAAGAACCATTTACACAACTCCTTCCACTTGAGAATGGTAACATCCAACTTGTTGTATATAAGGGTTTATCAAAACGATATCTTGCTAAACTTCTGATTTCTCTAGAAGTTTGTTTACATTTTTAAAGCTGTCAAAGGTACCTAAAGTATTATGCTCAAATACTCTTTAGCATAGGCTTTTAATGCATATTAGGATCTCCAACCCACATATTTTCTGACAACATAAAAAACAACAAAAGTCTTCATGCCATGGGCATTTTAATTACAATTGCTGTTACTACATATCTTGAGT